ATTATATATCAGGTAAATCGATCTCTTCCGTGTGCGGCCTTAGAAAACTAAAATAGATTACTTCACGTCGCAGTAGGCCGTAGTGTGCACAGTTAATATTGCTGGCACGTATTTATGTGTTTGGGAGCATGTCATTGTGAAATATGTTGTTGGGTTGGTTGGTTTGTTGTTTAACGCCGCACTCAGCAATATTCCATCTATATGACGGCGGTTCCACGCAACTGGGATCGATGACATGCATCAACCAAGTCAGCGAGCCTGACCCCCCGATCCCGTTAGTCGCCTGTTACGGCAAGCATGGGTTGCTGAAAACCTATTCTACCCCGGATCTTCTCGGGTCTGTTGTTGGGAATGCACTCATATTACCAAGGTCAATGACAGGGGTGTGGAATGTCAAGGTGCTGAGAAATCTAATACTGGTTGGTATTCGATACGCGTGTATTGAAGTGATTAGAGTTCTACAGTACCAAGTGCAATTAATAATTTGAAATACATACTACGCACGAGCGTACATACACATACACACGCACTCACGAAGGTAAACATTCAAAGCTCACCCCCGTCATGAAATACTGAACAGTATTCAAGTAAAAATTCAAAATGTGAACACAACCAATAGCTTGTAAAAAATCTGAATTAAATGGAACTTCCCCACCGAAATCCCAAATTTAAACTCACCTTTCAAATTTCTTCGATACGCACCAGTTGCACTGTACTGGAGTTTTAGTCAATCACATGATTGTCTGGTTTGTTAACATGCCGCCGGCACATGGCAAGAGTACTGCTGTGTGGTGTCAGGCATCACATACTTTTTTAAACAAATTGTTTGAGTGGTGAGTTCTACCGGCAGAGCAGGCCATGCTTACTCTTTTCGCGAACACCTGGTGTTATCACTGATTTTCTGTTATCCATCCATATATATAATTTTCACGCCTACCCGTGAAGACCCTGGGTAGAATAGGTCTTCAGCAACCCATGCTTGCCGTAAAAGGCGACTATGCTTGTCGTAGGAGGCGACTAACGGGATCGGGTGGTCAGGCTCACATGTCATCTATCCCAACTGCGTGGATCGAAGCTCATGATGTCAATCACTGGATTGTCTGGTCCAGACTGGATTATTTTACAGACCGCCGTCATGTAGCTGGAATATTGCTGAGTGCGGCGTTAAACAACAAACCCAACCAAACCCAACCCAACCCAGCCCTTTTTCGCCTTTTACGCCCAATGGAATCTGTTCCGGCGGATAATCGAGACTGGTTATTCTCTGGCGCTGACGTTTTATATTTACCTATTTTTACAATTTATGATTAATGTGTGTACATAATTTTTTTAAAAGTGTGCATATAAGACAAAACATGTGCTACATTAACATATTAGCACATATTAAATAGTTTTATTTTTCTTGTGCCCCTTACGGAGCTCCGTACATATCGTAGTTATCATTTTGGAACACACGGTAGTAAATCCACCGCCCATATTATATTACATGTTGAGCACAGCCGATGTTGTGACAAAATCACGTGCAGATTACAAGGAAAAGGCTGACATTGACCAGGAAGTACACCTGACCACAACACCGTGTTTCAGTAACGGTGACCTTCAACCATGCCGTACTGCTAACAATGAAACGGGAAGAGATTCAGCACAATGGACGAGTCGTTGTATTGGACGACATTATCGAAATACAATGCAACCTGAAACAAAATACAAAATGGCTGTCAGGGGAAGGAAATACACGTCACCCATGCGTATCACTATAACGCGCAACTATGAGAGGTCAACAGGTGTTTCATTGCTTGACAAGGCTGTGATTATACCTTTTTGCTTGATGCTTGTAAAACGACAAGAAAGCTCAAATAACCCTAGAACTTCAAACAGATATGCATTATACCAGTGACCATGACATAAATATATTTATGGTCTCCGATATAACGAACATGCTTTAACGATGACGTCACTTGGAGGCTGCTAACGCGAGTACCCCATACTACCGCATACTAGGGGTTCAGTATGGACAACTTAATTGACGTAAATCAGTTAACATCGGCTAATACTAGCCAACTAATACCTATACCTCGGTCAACACAGGTTTACCTGGGTTCTTTTGCAATCGAAAGCGAGCACTGTTGAGCGACGTTGTGTGCATTCATAACACTGGTTATGTGCGTGAATGCAATGTATTTTTATATTCCCGTGAATTTCTTGACTTGTAGATACGAAATCCATATTCACAGCAGTACTCCTGCCATGCGACGGCGGCCGGTAAACAAACCAGACAATCAACTTAATTGATTTTACTATCATGCCTTGTCGCCTTGGTACCCTATTGATTATAACACGTACACCATCAGGCTTCATACTTCAGCCTTATCTGTAGGTGAGGTGAGGTGAAATGGGGTTGAACGTCGCGTAATAGATTATTGCACTTACATAGCGACGTATATGCATGTATATGTGTGTCTGCTTGTACTAGTCCGGACTGATGCCGATTTACAGTAAAGTACGGTTATAACGAACTCAAAGGGACTACTAATTTAAGTTCGTTATAACCGTAGTTCGTTATAAGCATTTATACAGCATAACTAAAGCAAATAGTCGGGACCAAAAAGTAAGTTCGTTATATCCGTCAGTTCGTTATAAGCGTGTTCGTTATAACCGTAGTTTACTGTATAGTGCTAGCTCACTGAGATACCATGCCGCAGTTAACATGAATACCCCACTCAGACACAGTATACTGACTCCGAGCCGACCAGTCCTTGTTTTAGCCCCTTAATGCCGAGCGCCAGACAGAGTAACAACAAGTACCATCTTATCACGTCTTTTGGTATGACGCGGCCGGGGATCGAACCCCGGGCCTTCCGCTCTCCGGACGGACGCTCTACCACTAGACCACGGAGGCGGTCACCTATCTGTCGTGTAAACATCAATTGTCCACCTGTACGTAACCTTCCAAATTCACATTTCTGTATATCACCTGCTTGATAACGGCGTGAGTATCATTCACGTCGCATTCATTGTAATAAAGAAGTTGTATATCCGTAGAAAGATCTCCCTTGTTCATCATAACAACTTTTAAATGCCACTTAAAGAAGTCAGACAATCAAGTGATCGATGAACCAGAAAATCCTGTGACACGACAGTGCATCTGCTGGCCTTGTGGAAATACAGTTTCATAATTATCGCCGTCAAACAATCAATGCCGTCGGGTAGATGATGCACAATCAAGCGGGAATATACATCGTACTAAAAACGACAAAATCCTCTCCAAATTCATGAGAATGGCACCCGTTATAAACACACGCTAAGGCAAGTAAAGCACGGGAACATACAACAATGATACAAGCCACATCCGTCAACTGGTTACTGGGGACATTTTCTGCCTATGGACCATCATGGAAATATAAGAAATAAAAGAATTGTGACGTATATGCTTCGTAATACTTAAAAAACATTGCCGTCGTGCAAAGACAAATCAGGAATGACGTCATACGTGATAATTTTACCCCAAAAAATGATGTTTGTTTAACGTCGACATGGGGTACGTCAACAAAAATGTGCCTGAATTATGCCTGAATTCGTGTTAGAGGAACAACTTGGGTTTGTTGTTTAACGCCACACTCAGCAGTATTTCAGCTTAATGGCGGCGGTCTGTAAATAATCTAGTCTGGACCAGACAATCCAGTGATTGATATCATGAGCATCGATCAACTCAATTGGGATACAACATGCATCAACCAAGTCAGCGAGCCTGATCACCAGATCCCGTTAGTCGCCTCTTACGACAAGCATAGTCGCCTTTTACGGCAAGACCTTTTCTACCCGGATCTTCACGGGTATGAACAATTTGTGCTCAGTATTGAGCTTCACTCACGACATGGCTCAAAATGAACCAGTTGGTATTCATGCGAAACACGTGTGTAACATTTATTCTGGAGTGCTGTACAGCATTGTTGACGTAAATCATAGCTCATTGTTGACGTAATGGTAATGGGTTAGTGAGTGAGTTCGGTTTAACGCCGCTTTAACAGTATTCCAGTTATTTCACGGCGTGTCAGCTTAATGTGGGGGGAAAGCCCGAAGTGATGCAGGCCTCAGGCGTTTACCACTTCGGTGAAACCCATGCGCACGGGTATGGTACTGACAAACCAAGAAACATGGTCGGGGCGAACCGGGATTCGAACCCACAATCATAGGTTTCTAGCGTGCATAAGGGACACATCTCTGTACAGCAAAAATTGTGGCGCCTTAGAAAACTGTGCCACCCTTGCCCCCGACTACATATTGAATAAAATTGACAGGGTTTAGATTTAGTTTATTTACATAATATATATGTCCAAAATGAATGACAACTACATTTGGTAAAATAACAATAAAGTTCACCTTGTTCCAAATTAAGATTCAGTCAGATAAGAATCAAGTATTATAATGCAATTAACTGATCTGCTAAAGTCAAATCAAATGAACAAATTTAGCTTTTCAAAAATCATTGCTTCATGAGAATTTACTGCGGTGCATTTTGATACCCAGACAATTATGATTGGTCGTCCTTGTATGTCTTGATTATTCAAAAAGAATTGTTTTTAATTAAGACTGTGAAAAAATCAGATTTTTGTTAAGACCAGTCTACTTATAATGACCAACATCAACAAGAAGATTCCGGAAACCTATGAGTTCGTCACAAGGTGAGCTAAATGGCGAAAGGTGAACACGGATCGTGATGCCTTCGCTATAAACACGACATTAGTTACATGAAGGTGAACTAATAGGGAGTGAGTGAGTGAGTGAAAAGTGTTCAACAAAGTGTTCATCAATACTGTAAGCAATAAAGTTCCCGCAAACACATATGAGTGAGTGAGTGAGTGAGTTTAACGCCACTTTTAACAGTATTCCAGTTATATCGCGGTGTGTCAGCTTAATGTGGAAGGAAAGCCGGAAGTAATGCAGGTCTGAGACGTTTACCACTTCTGTGAAACCCACAAGCACGGGTATGGTGCTGAAAAACCTACACTTAGAAACATAAACGGGTCGAACCGGGATTCGAACCGACAAACATAGGTTTCTATAGGGACGCAACCCTGCACAGCGAATCGCGGCGCCTCAGACGGCTGCGCCACCCGTGCCCCTAACAGGGAAGCTATCATCTTAAAAATATTGGAATACAAGTTAAGCTATAAATATCTAGCTAGGATAACAAACTTAAGTGATCAGGCCAATCTTTACATTAATCTCCATACTATTAAACAGTTAAATTGGAAAACAAGCTCCAAAATAACAAGAAAACATACACAGTGCATCATCGCATGCGTATCAACAAAGTGGAAGCAGGAATGTTATTTGCAGAAACTATTTTAACAACAAATGTAACAAATCAACATCTACATAAATGAGCAATAAAAACATTGTACAGTTTGTATCTGAAACTGGTTTGGGCTATCAGTATAATCTTTTTTATTAAGTTTATTTCAGTATATTGAGCACAGGGCCAAGAACAATATAGACACATGTATTATATACAAAGTGATGGTGCAATAACAAGAAGTACAGAATCTAATGAAGAACGAAAGATAGGGCATCTTTAATGTATTTAGAACATAATGTTTGTTTGTTTGTTGTTTAACGGAGCACTCAGCAATATTCCAGCTATATGACGGCGGTCTGTCAATAATTGAGTCTGGAGTAGACAATCCAGTGATTGACATCATAATGACAAAGTTCAATGTTAGAAGTTTGTTGTAAAATTCTGAGTGAAAATTAATTTTTTTGGTTAGTGTTTTAGTTGGGCATACTAACAAAGAATGTAACTCATCTGTAATATTTTTACCAAAAGGTCAAAATGTAAGGTTTCTAGGTACACCGACCCGCCTACATATATATGTCATAATTTGTAATTCTCAAATTCTTAATAATGTTAAATTTCTTTTGTTAGCAGAATAAATGCTTTTAGGGATCCTCATCCTCATCTCATTCAGCTTTTACAAATGTGCCAACAACTGCTCCCAAAACGCTTCTTTTCGATCACTCTTCTCTGACCATTGTACTGTTGGGCATGTTTGCAACATACTGCTGAGAGCATGGGACATGTATCTGTCCTCAATGTCTTCAAGAAAAACCAACACAAGCATTCCATGATGGCCCTCCAAGCGTTTCAAGACCAAGGACATCTCAAACTGAGAAGTTCGGTCCTTGAAGAAGCTGTTAGACAAAACTGCAAGGACTTTTATGCAGCGTCTTAAGTTAATCACAACATTATCAACTACATATATTTTGGGATTAAAGTCTCTTTGGCGGAAACAAACTTTTAGTCTTCCTTCATCTTCTAACTTGGCCAGTGCTTCGTATCTTACCCACAAATAATTTTCATCACTGTACAGAATGTAGACATCGTTACTCAGGAGAGGAATGGATTCTGAAGCTGAAGATTTGGACATCAAGCAGCAGTACCGTATGTTCCAGCGCAGTTTGTAGCCCAAGGCAAAGAAACACAGGCAGATGAGCACAGTCCCAACGACGCAGTACACGATGGAAAAATTGTGGCGAGTGTGGTAACACTCTGAATCGTTTATAGACGAAATATCCACAAGATTTTTCCCTTGAAAAGGAGCGTTGGAGCAGGTGTATTGATTCAGGTGATTACGAAATTTGCTAGTCTCAGATAAGAGCCAGTACTTGAGCCAAACTAAATCACAGTTACAAACAAAAGGATTGTTTTCAAGACTTATAAATCGTAATTCTTTTCTAACTGAATTAGAAATTACGAATGTACTGAGGGTCTTAATGGAGTTGTTGGCAAGGTATAATTGGCGAAGGTCGTTGTTGTTGTCAAAGAAATTGTCATTGATGGTTTGAATTGAGTTCAAGTTTAGATTCAGTATTCGAAGTCGGCCCATTTCTGAAAAGACTCTGGGCATTTGTTTTAACCCACAACGACTGCAGTTGAACGATTCTATAGTGTTCACTGCTCCGTCGAAAAGGTATCTGATGAAATATTCAGGCATTCTGCCAAAGTCATTCCCGGAAAGATCAACATCCTTGATACTCTTGCAGTTTATAAAGGCTGATGTCTCAGTCTCAATAGAGCGTATATTTGAATAGGACAAATTTACAAAAGACAGGTTTGAATTAAACACCTGTCCTTGAATGGTTAAATTTGCTTTATTGTCAGATATATCCAAGTATCTCAGTTTAGTTATTCTGAGCAATGAGAACTTTTTGATATCCTTAATTGTGTTTCCTGACAAGGTTAAGGCTTGAAGGTTATGGAGGCAGCGAACATTTAGAGCAGATATTGCGTATATGAGGTTGTACCCGATATTAAGCGTTTGCAAGTTTGGAAAGGAAGGTTTTTGATGGTCCATGCACATTAATGGTAATTCACCTAGTTCATTGTGACTAAGATCTAAACTCTTCAAACTTTCAGATTTAGCAGTCTTATGATATTCCGGCCACGCGATTTGATTGTCCGTGAGGTTCAAAAGTGTCAACATAGTAAACTTGGCAATGTGAGAAACATTGAATTTCGTCAGCATGTTATGGGCAAGATGTAGCGCAGTGAGGCTCTTTGTCAGTAGACCATCAAGGAAATTGTCTTCCAGCCAGGCGTCGCTAATATTTAATTTATTCAAGTACAGATATTCAAAACCAACAGGTAGTGAATGAAACGCTCCACCCAATTCATCCAACGTGATGGGGTTATCACTTATATCCAAATAAAGAAGATGACTGAGGTTAGCGAAGGCACCTGCAGAAATATGAGTTATTTGATTGTGTGTAAGATCCAGAAAATGTAGGGCGTACTGGCTGATGTTTTGAAAGGTACTATTTGTGATGATTGTCAAATAGTTGTTCATAAATGTAAACCGATAAATTTCCCCGTCCCATTGTAAGCGTGGGACATATTGCAGCCTTCTTCCATTGTCGATGCAGCAAGCTGAATGCGATATGCACGAGCACCAATTATGAAAGCAGTCTATGGCCAGACCTTGCTGAAACTGACACACTGTAAGAAAACACAATACAGTTATTATGCACTGGTGCCAAAGCTTTTCCATCTTTTGGAAAATGTCCTACCTAAACAGTGTTGCAATCCAAGAACATAATTCCTTGAAGTGCCTTTTCTATCACAACATTCCCCTTTCGCTGATATGTAAATTGGATTTCATGAAGGTTTTCTGTATAGTTGAAACCGTGTACTACATTTTTCTTAAATGGATCCTTCTTTGAAGATCAGATGATGCTTGTGTCTTCTACCCTGTCAAACACATCTGAGTGAAACCATGCCTTTCCTTCTATGTTTGTTCCCGATATGAACTGTTCCGTTTTTCCAAGATACGTGTCACGAAGTGAAAGGTTTTCTGCTTCAGTCAGTATTGTTCAGTGTATTTTGACCAGGTTAAAATAACATTAAAACAAGACAAATATGACACATAATCATATTCGTATCTTCAAAGAAAGATATTCGCAATGAACCCTTCACTCAATCTGGACACACCACGAAGAACGATAACACCCTGGTCTGATTACATGAAGTTGACAGACACAGATCTCCACTGGGAATTCAGCTTTTGTCAGGATGTAGCTGTGTGTATTCAAGTCATACTGGCATGTGAGACCAGTACTGTTTTGAAGACACGAACCACATAAACACTATTGGAATCGAGTCCTACCATGTAGTGATGCAATCTTTCAAAACCAGGAATTGATAAAGTCAGTATCCAGATGTAACCGCAATGGCGTCGCTGGTAAGAATGTTGTGTCAGTGTTCAGATTTTTCCGAGCTCTTTCCAAACTGCCTCAGTCTGACCTCCTTCGTTGCCTTCACGACTACAGTTATCAAACAGTATCCGCCTGTGTTTACAAGATCTGCACACACGCCCGACTGTCATTAAAACTTCCTCCTCTGTGCTGTTTGTCACAGTAATACAACTCAGTATCCAGATTTAATCTCAATGGCGTCGTTCGGAAGAATGTTGTGTCAGTGTCCAGAGTTTTGGAAGCTCTTCCAAAGTCTGACCTCGTTTGCTGCTTACACGATCACAGTTATCAAGCAGTATTCTCCTGCCTAAAGCAGATCTGTAAACACGTCCGACTCTCATCAAAACTTCCTCCTCTGTGCTGTTTGTCACAGTAAAATGCAATCCAACCCGGATGACGAATGATTCAGTAAATAAATATAGGGCAGAAATGAGAGATAATGCTTCCTACTGTAAAGGGTTGGCCACAGTAACCTACTTTTAACCAGGAAGAATGATTATTTCAGAACAAATTTTGAAAAAGACGTCAATATTGTGTACACTAACGTTACTGTGGGAAATACTTAAACAACTGTCAAGTTATGCTAATTTATCGAACAAGTGTTCCTTGACAACCGATCCGCCAAGTTAGTAGACAGCAGGGAATGATTGTCATAATGAAACTTAATGAAAACATTTCTGAATATTGACGTCGGCATGCCTACTTTCGTCTAGGTAATGTTTTTTTGTGGGTTTTTTTTTTGTTGGTTTATTGTTTAACGCCGCACTCAGCAATATTCCAGCTATATGACGGCGGTCTGTAAAATAATCGAGTCTGGACCACACAATCCAGTTATTAATGTCATGAGCATCGATCCACGCAATTGGGATCGATGACGTGCATCAACCAAGTCAGCGAGCCTGACCACCCGATCCCTTTAGTCGCCTTTTACGACAAGCATAGTCGGCTTTTACGGCAAGCATGGGTTGCCGAAGACCTATTCTACCCCGGATCTTCAAGGGCCGTCTAGGTAATGTATGCCACAGATGCACCTAATTTTATATGGTGGTAAAAGGAGAAAACAATTTGTCCCAGAAACTGACTGAACAGACAAATATCCCAGAAAAAAAGGATTCTAGATGATACATATATGCTACATGTTAGATAAATTGTAGACGGTAGATCATGAATGGTGGATAGATGAGTGAGTGAGTGAGTGAGTTGGGTTTAACGCCGCTTTTAACAGTATTCCAGTTATATCACGGCGTGTCAGCTTAATTTGGGAGGAAAGTGATGCAGGTCTAAGACGTTTACCACTTCGGTGAAACCCACGAGCACGGGTATGGTGCTGACAAACCTAGAAACATAATCGGGGCGAACCGGGATTCGAACCCACAATCATAGGTTTCTGGCGTGCCCAATGGACGCAACTCTGCACAGCGAATCGCGGCGCCTTAGACTACTGGGTCACCCGTGCCCCGGGTAGATAGATGATAGATATATGGTAAATGATCGGTAGATGGTCTAACCATACTCCTCCGCCGATCTATCATTCTCCATATACGTATCATCAACAATCTATCTGTCATCTACAATCAAACAATCGTCCATAATCTGTCTACCATCCACTATCTAAATTGGCATTACATTAACATAAATACACGAGTGGCATTGTACACTTCAGCAAGCACTAATATGGCATTCACATACATACACGAGTGTCAGTGATCACTTCAGCATGCACTAACACTGCACTGACATACACACACGAGTGTCAGTGATCACTTCAGCATGCACTAACTCTGCATTGACATACACACACGAGTGTCAGTGATCACTTCAGCATGCACTTACATTACATTGACATACATACACGAGTACATGAGTACATGTGTATTTAATAAAGTCACAACAATTTTAAATTACAAACAACAATTACAATCATTAAGAAAAGATCTACCATAATCATCAAAAGTAAGTGAAGCACTCGTAAACTATATATAAAGTTGTCTCCCTTTAACCTCTTTGAAAAAACCTGCCTTGCCTGCGTGCATTGAACAATATACAGTGCTAAAGATTCTGACAAATTTATCGAGAGTACAAAGATTACTAGTGCAAATACTTGGCAAAAGCATACTTCTGAATTTGTTATACAAGTAACATGATGTAATAAAATGAACTTCATCCTCAACAATTGATACACTCAGATTATCAAAACAATATTTACATACTCTCTCCCCTCTAGCAACTCCTCCCCACCGCCCAATTTCAACAGCCAGTTTGTGGTTACCACATCTGAATCGACTAAGAGCAATTCTTAAATTTTTACTCTTCATATTGTGCAAATACCTATCAGGCTCCAACACTGATTTGATAATGGAATAATTATTAAGCCTACTTGTTTCACTTATAGATAGTGCCCATGTTTGTTTCCAACAATCCTGCAACCCTTCCCTACAAATTCTAAGGAAATGGGCTTTGTCACCAACACCCTGTTCAAACCAAACTAGACAAAATCCAAGTAAACTAATGTCCAAAAGAAACGATACCACGTGTTTGAAAGGACATTACAAAAAAACTAAACGATACAGACATTTCAAATTGGTGTATGACGTGTGAGTAATGTTTTCACAGTATGTGTACATAAATTCATTGTAATCAATCCTTTACAATCATGAGGACAGACATGTAAAGACGCCGGGGGGCCAAAATGAAAATTTCATTTGAACACAGTTGATGAGACAAGTGTGGAAAATGTCACAACACACGTCTCAAAGTCACGTTAGTACCGGGTATGTCCACCGTGAGCATCGATACACGCTAGTACACGTCTACGGGCTGATGACGTCAGACGTCTGATTTTGCGGGGGGATGCGTTGCCATTCATGGAGGAGGCATTGTTCCAATTCCTGGAGGTTAACTGGAGGCACAGGGCGATTCCTGACTTTGCGGCCTAGAATGTCCCACATGTGTTCGATTGGGTTCATGTCCGGTGAACATGCCGGCCATGGTAAAACGTGAATGTTGGCGTTTGCTAGGAAGTTCTAGGTCAGCCTTGCCGTGTGAGGCCTCGCATTATCGTGCTGGAAAATGATACCATTAGGCTGTTGTTGGATGAATGGCACCACAACTGGTTGTCAGATGTCATCACGATAACGCTGCGCAATCAGGTTTCCTAGACTGGTTCCCGGATCCTCCGCTTGGTGTCGCTGCACTTGTTCCGCTTTCCAATCAAAGTCTGTCGCAGGAACGAACGGGAACCAGTCTATCAGGTTTCCTCGAATAACAACGAGTCTCGTTTTGACGTCACCGCAGATTCTACCCCAAACCATTAAACCTCCATATGGCCTGACTTGATGGATACAGTTCGGTGCCAAACGTTCTCCTACTCTTCGGTACACACGCTGCCGGCCGTCGTTCATGGAGATGCAAAATCTGCGTTCGTTAGAAAACATGACACGTGCCCAGTTCCACCGTTGCCACTGTCGAAGTCGCCTGGCTCATATCCGTCTGTTGAGTCGGTGTTGAGGTGTCAGGAACGCTCCGCGGTAGGGGCGACGTGCTCGGATACCATGTGCCCGCAGTCTCCTGTACACGGTTTGGCGACTTATCACCAGTGCCGTCCGTGCCATTAACGTCGCCGTTACGAAGCGGTTCCGAAGGTGAAGTACCCGGGTGCGGCGGTCTTCAATAGGCGTGGTCACCCGTGGTCTCCCGGTTCTCGGCCTGTCTGCTGTCCGACCTGTTTGACGCAACCGCTGCTTTAACCTGGTGACGGTTATGCGCGAGCATCCTAACCTTCTGGCGACGTCGCGGTGCTTAGCTCCCTGTTGGAGCATTCCTACGGCTCTCCGTCTCTCTCAATCGCTGTCAAACGTGGCATTTCTTGTGTGTGCTTTTTGTTGCTGTGATCCCAACGTGTCGGGTCAGCAGTTTTATACAGAATACACGTGCATTTCGTGTTACGGGACGGAACGTCATTTGGGCAAATTGCACGCTTTTTTCTTAAGTGATCAAATGTTCCCGGTTTTATCGACCGAATACGTTTGGTTTGGAATTTAGGATACGCTAAAGTACCTTTCAGACGAAAATTAACTCTTCATAATAAAATATTTAGAAAAATGTGTGGTATCGTTTCATTTGGACATTAGTTTATGTTCAATAGATATTTTATTCTAGTTGCCCATGTGGCTCTACCAGCCCCATCTAACTGATATAACATTGACATGCATACACGAGTGTCAGTGATCACTTCAGCATGCACTAACATTACATTGACACACATACACGAGTGTCAGTGTTCGCTTCAGCATGCACTAACAATACATTGACATACATACACGAGTGTCAGTGATCACTTCAGCATGCACTAACATTACATTGACATACATACACGAGTTCCAGTGTTCACTTCAGCATGCACTAACATTACATTAACATACATACACGAGTGTCGGTGATCAATTCAGCATGCACCAACACTGCACTGACACACATACACGAGTGTCAGTGTTCGCTTCAGCATGCACTAACATTACATTGACATACATACACGAGTGTCAGTGATCACTTCAGCATGCACTAACATTACATTGACATACGTACACGAGTGTCAGTGATCACTTCAGCATGCACTAACATTACATTGACATACATACACAAGTGTCAGTGATCACTTCAGCATGCACTAACATTACATTGACATACATACACGAGTGTCAGTGATCACTTCAGCATGCACTAACATTACATTGACATACATACACGAGTGGCAGTGATCACTTCAGCTTGCACTAACACTGCATTCATATACATACACGAGTGGCAGTGATCACTTCAGCATGCACTAACATTACATTCACATACATACAAGAGTGTCAGTGTCAGGTTTTGTGATTGTTGATCCATCGATATTATGTTAAGGATTGCTAATAATTTGTCTTAATTAGTGATCAAAGAAAGTTGTACAATTTTTCGATTTGAATTTCTAAATGCACTTTTACACACTGTGACATCTGTACTCACTCATGTGATCAACGTGTCCCCGACCTGGTGACACAAACCCTCCTCTCACCAGTCAAGATCTCCTGACCTACAGAAACAGACAGATGCTGTGAATTCAAGTACACCCTTGTACGGATCAAACGTTCCACGTCTCATGGGAACGCTGCATCTGCATTAATTCATGCTACTATATAGGGAGAAACTGTCTCTGTGGTCGGTGTCATATCTCCATCATGAAACTGTGTCTCCTTCTCGCAATCTCCGTTGCCTACGCTGGTAAGTACAAATACCTTCACCCAGTACCAGTAACAAAATAATCTTTCTACAGGCAGTAAAACCTGGGATTCAGCTTTTCCTTTTCTTTGTAAGACCTCATCCCTGCTATAAGGTGTTCATAGTAAAAAGAAGTTTGGACTTTGTGTTTCAAATGTCCAATGTAGAACAAAATCGAAGTTAAGAATTTAAAAAATTGCATTATGGATGACTGAAATCGAACAACCTCCTGGTCAGTTGTCAGACACTCTATCCATTAGGCCACAGAGCTGGTTGATACAGGTGGTTCATTAGAAGGTACCCTGTATAGTGTATATTTCCTGGACAGGTATGTTTTTACGAGCGCGTCTTCAGACTGTCGTATGCATGATATCAAACGAATATTTATATATGTTTCGACAGTTTATAAGTGAGAGAAAACGTTTCTCGATTAGGGTTGAAAGTGTAAACCCTCGGGTCGGAACAGCCTCCCTCGCGAATTTTACATTTTCAACCAAAACCTCGGATGCGGGTTTTCTCTTGTACATCAAGTATGAAAGGCTTAATAAATTATTATAGGCAGTATCTTGGGAATACGATAACACACATTGTGTCGGATCGTAGCTGGTATCATGGTATTTAAACACGTGGGGACTCCTTGCTTGATTGTCATACGAGGCAACTAAATGGATCGGGAGGTCAGACTCAATGACTGATTTGTCTGGTCAAGACTCGATGAAATATAGGCCTGGGACGAGAGTGAGTGAATATTGTTTTACGCAGCTTGAAGCAATGTTCCAGCTTTATTACGACGGGGGAGACCATTGTATCCATGTGGGGAATCGAACCCGGTTCCCCGGCGTGACGAGCGAACACTTTAACCACGAGGCTACCCAACAGCGAATAATATGGGGTTGAAAAAGTCTGCCCTGACCGTTGAGGGGTGGTCGATTCCGGTGTGGTGATACCTTAATTATATGTTAAAATGAACATCATGCTAGATTGAAACCTAAGCCTATCAAGTATTGTAATGAAGAATGCAAATTCTTCTTTTTGTCAGCCGCTGCCCCCGCCGAACGTATCGTTGGGGGGTCGGAAGCTACCCCTCACACCTGGCCATGGCAGCTCTCTCTCCGACGTCAGGGAAGCCACATCTGTGGAGCGGCCATCCTGACAGCGAACTACGCAGTGACCGCTGCCCACTGTGTGGATGGACAGTAAGTTTTGTTTGTTTGTTGTTTAACGCCTTACTCAGCAGTAGATAGTAAGTTACACCTGGGAATGGAATCCTTCAATGTCATCACATAGCCAATTGCCTTCCACTCATTTACAAACCTAAACTAGAAATATACGAGACCAGTTTAACCGCCCCATCTGTCTCATATTTAGATATATGAATAAAGATTCAGAGTGACAAAACACTATCCACAAGATCACGAGAGCGATGACTTCAACTTTCCAAAAGTCAATTTTCCCTTTATGTCGAGTAATATTCCATCAGCTCCAGCCTCTCGTGTCTCCATTTAACAACGTTTGAGGTACAACAGAGAATGATCTTTCTGACTCTTGCACTACAATTGTTGGGTCAGGATTACAGTAACAGTAAAGCTTTCTGAAAGTTTTATGGTAGACATCAGTGGTTTTTTTTCCAAATTTGAGTTCTATGGGTTCCTTGGGGAATGACAGATCCCTTGTTAATGGATGTCTGTTACTGTAAGGAAACGAAAAGGTATGTGTGTCAGTATGTTTTTTCGATGATTTAAGCAATATTCCATCGTTGTTATAGAATCGACAAAACAAGTATCATAGATATAAGAAATGATAAAAACAGTGTCCTGTGTACGATCCCGGCTGCATCATGATCATGTGTTTATGAATCACCATCAAATAGTGATGATACCAGGTGTTTGCGAAAGGATGAGCATATCCTGGCCCACCGGTGTCACCCGTCACAAACACATGCAAAGGCAAGTCAAGGGTTCACCTGTAAAACACACGGGAACCTACTCCAAATAGGGAATTGCATCGGACATCATTTTGGTCACACATTACAACCATGTAGGCAATCGAACCAAGCTATTCAGAGCGAACGCCTAACCACAAGGCTACTTTGCAGAAACACAGAAACAAGCATGTAATAGAGTACGGAATATAAAAAGGATAACTTAAATCTAAATTAAATTCATATTTTTTTTCTAACAGGGTTGAATCTGACATGTCAATCGTAGCAGGCGGGCACAGTCTTCAGAACCCATCAATGTTCGAGCAGGCCATCGACGTAACCTATGTCATGGTAGGTCCTTTCTCTATTATCATTAAGTCAAGCTAAAACAAATTCAATTGATGCAAAACCTATCCAGTCAAATTGAAAAATGTCTAAACTCCAGCCTTCTCCGAAACTATTTCCTTGAAGGTCTGTGTACCGATTCAAATTCAAAATCAATTGAAATTGTGTAAGTTGTTCCCAAAATATAGATCAAGCTGATGAAATGGAACAAAAACAAGACACCAAGGTTGCATATTGCATATAGATGTGTGAAGAAAAGTCCCTGGCAAAAGAAAGTATACAATTGAAAATTGGAGTGTTAAAATCAAAACGTTACCAGGTTGAAAACAGTTGCCGGGACACTGCAAACCTGACGTCCAACACACAACTCTGATACCCAAATACATCAAATGTAAAACCATCGAATAACAAGTTTCATTTTAGCCACTATCAAAGATAGGTGTATACCTTGTATTGCCCGACAGTCTACATAAAATGAGCCACGCAACAAGTATGATAATATCTCAAGAAACATTATAGATATAAATTAATTATTTTAAAAAGAGGGGACACGGGTGGCCAAGTTGTCTAAGGCGCTGTGCAGAGTGGCGTCCCTTGGGCACACCAGAAACCTATGATTGTGAAATCGAATCCTGGTTCGCCCCGATTATGTTTCTAGGTTTGTCAGCACCATGCCCGTGCTCGTGGGTTTCACCGAAGTGGTAAACGCCTGAGGCCTGCATCACTTCGGGCTTTCCTCCCACGTTAAGCTGACACGCCGCGATATAAATGGAATACAATTAAAAGCGGCGTTAAACCCAACTAACACACTCGTTCACTCACTCTTTTAAAAAGAAGATGCAACCAAACCTTCAATGTTCAATTGTCTGTTCCAAAGATTGTTGTATTGCCATCGCTGAATGAAGGGCATACACAAGAAGAAAATAAGTATAAACACGGTATCTGCAGGCCTTCTAAATCACCACTTTTCGTCCTGTGATATGTGTTCTATTTACAGCACCCGAGCTACAATGGCGACGCACTCGGATTCCCTAATGACATTGCTATTCTGAGACTGGCGACGCCTCTGGAATTTAATGATGGTGTTCAACCGGCAAATCTCGTTCCCGATGACTCGAAGGATTTTGCAGGGGAAAAAGACTGCTTCATCACTGGATGGGGAAAGTTAGGAGGTAAGGATAAAAGCAAGTTCCCGGGTACTCTACTTTGAAACCTGTACATTGATAATCACTTAGGCATATGCTACCTTATGCCAGATTTAGGAAGAATACATTAAGACAACGTATAAAATAATAAATTTAACACAAACGATTTATATGCTAATTCTACCAAAAGAGTGAATCACCCTTTATTCAATTTGTGCTTAATCAGCAAATGTGAATCAGAGAGACCAACTCTGGGTGATCCTGCTGACTTTATAAACGCTTTTGTGCGTATTGATATATGCGATTCCTATGTTGCATTTTGGCCATCAATATGGCGACAGCAAGACTTCCGGGGGCGCTTCAGTTTAACATCTATTTACCGATGTGGATCAAGGATTTTTCACACTTAACAAGGGAAGCCAACAGATAAGTGGCGCTGATACGTCCTGGCCTCCAGTTGCCCATCGTATCAACTATCAGCGCTATTTATTGTTAAGTGTTGACTTCCATTTGTCCAATGCTGCTAATCACCTATCAGCGCCAATTATCTGTTGGCTTCCCTTGTTAAGTTTCCAACTCTTGTTATCTTATTACTTTTGTTGGTCTTACGTGTACATATATATGTTCTCTGCCTCATAGCATTCATTCAGCTTCTAAATGCCTTTAAACAACATCAACAACACTGATATTGATAATACAGGATCGGAGTCCGGCGTGCCAGACCTTCTGCAAGAAGTTCAGACCGACGTCGTGACCAACAGCGCTTGCAGAAGCGCACTCGGTCTATTCCCCGGTTTGGGCCTCTCCAGCAGCCACGTCTGCGTGTACGACAGCGCCAACCAAGCCTCCGGAGCATGCAATGTAAGTAGAGGCACATTCATCGAGTTCATCTTCATTGACAAATTCATCAAACTCAAAACGGTAATACCATCAATTGCAACGTCTTCCATTCCCGTTAGGTCAAACAGTTTTGCTTTTCCACTCTTAAGGACTTGTTGTTTATTGTACCATTCACTCGCTGACATGGTTGATGTGCCGGAGCCTTATTGCTGTCTACTCTGCTCATTGCTAACTCTTGTCGCGAATAACCGACTTGCAGTGATCCATTCTTATATTTTCACCACTATTTTGCATAAGACCCGTGAAGATCCGGGGTAGAATAGGTCTTCAGCAACCCATGCTTGCCGTTCAATGTGACTATGCTTGTCGTAAGAGGCGACTAACGGGATCGGGTGGTCAGGCTCGCTGGCTTGGTTGATGCATCCCAAATGGGTGGTTCGATGCTCATATCATTCACTTGACTGTCTGTTCCAGACTCGATTATTTACAGACCGCCGTCATATAGCTGGAATACTGCTGACTCCGGTGTTAAACAACAAACAAACAAAACCCAGACTCGATTATTTACAGACCGCCGTCATATAGCTGGAATATTGCTGACTCCGGTGTTAAACAACAAACAAAACAAACAAATACCTGACTCGAATATTTACAGACCGCCGTCATATAGCTGGAATACTTCTGACTCCGGTGTTTAACAACAAACAAACAAACAAACAAAAACCAGACTCGAATATTTACAGACCGCCGTCATATAGCTGGAATACTTCTGACTCCGGTGTTTAACAACAAACAAACAAAAAACAAAAACCAGATTCGATTATTTACAGACCGCCGTCATATAGCTGGAATACTTCTGACTCCGGTGTTTAACAACAAACAAACAAACAAAAACATTACACCCAATGGAATCTGATTCAGCACATTATCGAGGATACGGTCGAGTTCGCACGAATGTCTTGTATGGAGTTGGCCCCATTTCTTCATATAAACAGACGCGAGTCTCTATTACACTGCATATCCTACGTAAGTAATCACGGGTGATGGAGTAACATAGTGTATACCAACCCATGATTCTCAATAACCATATCACACACGCCTATTCTTGTGTATTTAGATGGTGTCCGTGTGTCTATGCATGATCAGGGGCACGGGTGGCTCAGTCGTCTAAGGCGCCGCGATTCGCTGTGCAGAGTTGCGTCCCTGGGGCACGCCGGAAACCTATGATTGTGGGTTCGAATCCCGGTTCGCCCCGATTATGTTTCTAGGCTTGTCAGCACCATACCCGTGCTCGTGGGTTTCACCAAAGTGGTAAACGTCTGAGACCTGCATCACTTCGGGCTTTTCTCCCACATTAAGCGGACACGCCGTGATATAACTGGAATACTGTTAAAAGCGGCGTTAAACCCAACTCACTCACTTACTATGCAAGATCACTCGTAAGCAGAGACAGAGAAATAAGTCAGCATTAGTAGCTTCCAACATGACATTGGGCCCAATTTTCTAAATGGTAATAAAGCGACAACACCCTTTCCATATCCAATAGAAATATCTGCATAAAGCCGAGTCGATTGTACAAATCCGACTATATCATGAACATGTGTTTATGAATCGCTATCAAATAGTAATGCTACCAGGTGTTCGCGAAAAGGTCAGCGTGTCCTGCCCCACCGGTGGCACACGTCACAAACACATGCAAAGGCAATTCAATTGTTTACCTGAAAAAAACATTGGAATATATGGTACAAGTATCAAGGAAATTGTATCGGACCTCATTTTTGTCACTGATGCGTCAAATTTGGATATGTTCTCCACATGTTTACCATAAAACTTTTTGAAAGCTTCACTGAAGCCTTGAATGTTGTAACCTTGATTCTAAAAAGCAGTGTGGCTTATCAAACACCTCTGTAGCCTCGTGGTACACTCACTGGGCTACAGATATGAAGGTTGCGAGTTTGATCCTCGGGAATACAAAGAAAACATTGGTCATTTGATTTTACATTTCATTACATGTTACAATCTGAACGGAAGTTACATTAATAAAATACCCAGGACATTATATAAAATCCCTGGGATATTATAGCAAATATGACTTGAATATCCTATAAAATCCCAGGGACATTACACCGTCCCTGTTTATGAGATTTAACCAGACTGGAAAGTAAAACCTCACAATAGGTTTTAATGCCTATAGAAAGAAGTGCCTTACTTAATAGCGATCCCAATGAATCGGTTTATAAATATAGGTATATTAACTTCTTTTTGATTGTTGAAAACTGGGATACTTGTTTGTTTCAGTGGTGTATAATCTCTCTATGTTATGTTGCAGGGAGACAGCGGTGGTCCCCTGGTGTGTATGTCTAACGGTCAGTACACCTTGATTGGTGTTACCTCCTGGGGTCTGTCTGGGTGCGCCACCGACGCCCCCAGCGTCTACACCAGGGTCTCCAAGTTCCTCGACTGGGTCAAGAGCAACTCCGATTTGTAACATGGAAATAAATATATAAAAATCCTGACATTTCGGTTGTGCATTCATTTCCTGACATGTAACTTGTAATATCCGCAATTGTTTGAGACCCGTGAAGATCCGGGGTTGAATAGGTCCCCAGCGACCCATGCTTGCCGTAAAAGGCGAATATGCTTGTCGTAGGAGGCAACTAACGTGGTCGGGTGGTCAGGCTCGCTGACTTGGTTGATGCATGTCATCGATCCCAATTGCGTGGATAGATGCTCATGATATTAATAACTGGATTGTCTGGTCCAAACGCGATTATTTACAGACCGCCGTCATTAAGCTGAACTATTGCTGAGTGTGGCGTTAAACAACAAATCAATACAGTAAACAAATTAACTTATTTTTTTCATACAGCAGCATCACATTGTAACATCTTCTTTTTAGCATTTTTAATAACTTAAGCTAAATGTTTTTCAAAAGTAGGAATGATTTGTTTAACGCAATGGGAGCTTTGACAGACATATTAATGTACTGATTCTATTACTCTCGACCATATAAAAGGATAGGAGTGTGTGTGTGTGTGTGTGTGTGTGTGTGTGTGTGTGTGTGTGTGTGTGTGTGTGTGTGTGTGTTCTATGCGAGTATGTCTATGCGAGTTTGCCAGCACTGTACCAGTGTCCTTTGGTTTCACCAAAGTCGTAAACGTCTTAGAAAGGAATGACTTCGGGTTTTCTTCCCACATCAAGCTGAAACGCCAGGGTTTAACTAAAAATCTGTTCAAAGCGGCTCAAAAAAACTAACTCACCTATTAACATACATTTGTAGATTGAAAATGTAAAAGAAATGGGTGGAAATAATGTACGGAGTGATAACGTGAATTTTAACATGAAAACTTCGAGGTTATCTGATTCGAAGTACTTCATCTGCAATAGCCAACAGGGAAACATTTGCGAGTAGATTTATGATTCAACTCAAACACAATAAGGTCAGGGAAAACGGTTGTACATATGCCATGTGACATCTATCACACGTCCTCGTTAGAGGCAATGTCAAGGTCAGGTATCAGTTTCGTCGCGTCGGCATTATTTCAGCCATATAGCGACGCGACCATGTTCATATATTCACAATTTTGTCATTTATGAATAGTTATATTTAAAAACAATTTATGAAACATATTTGAGTACGATAATAGGGTAATTAAGGATGGAAGTATGGTTGAAAGTGTTCGGATGGAAGTATGGTTGAAAGTGTTCACATTTATAGTGGTTTGTTTGATGTTTAACTCCGCACTCAAATATTCCAGCGATATGACGACAGCAAGTACATTATTGTTTGTTTGTTTATTTGTTTGCTTGTTGTCTAACGCCGCACTCAGCAATATTACAGCTATATGACGGCGGTCTGCAAATAATCGAGTCTTGACCATACAATCCAGTGACTGACATCACGAGCATCGATCTACGCAATTTGAATACGATGACTTGCATCAACCAAGTCAGCGATTGTTAGATGAGTTTCGAGTTACTGGGGTGTACGTCCCGCTAGCAGAGGTCAAGAGTACTGTTCAATAAGAAAGGTATTCCCAAGTTTTTCCAACTTAAGTCCATTTTAAGCAACTCAGGCAATACTAAAATTCAAAAGAAACTGAAACATGTATTATTAATTTTAAGTTTATATAATTAATAAGGTCATCATCTGATAGAATCACATTAGAAGATACAATGCGACAGGATGAATCACGTGGCAAGGTGTCCTCAGCACACGTCGGGTCACACGTCCCCCCCCCCCCCCCAAAAAAAAAAAAAAAAAAAAACACACAAAAACAACGTTTTCACCCTGACAGGGAAACTGACGCGTTGTAAAAGTGAAATTGTTCCTGTTAATGTTGTTCCCGTGTGACGATAGCGTGTGTGTCGACCACCTGCATTAATGCGCGATACCACATGTCGTCTTCCTAATCATGGCATGAGAGATTAACTTTAGTAACATGAGTGAGTGAGTGAGTTGGGTTAACGTCGCTTTTAACACTATTCCAGTTATATCACAGCGTGTCAGTTTAATGTGAGAGGAAAACCCGAAGTGATGCAGGTCTTAAACGTTTACCACTTCGGTGAAACCCAGGAGCACGGGTATGGTGCTGATAAACATAGAAACCTAATCGGGACGAACCGGGATTCGAACCCACAATCATTGGTTTCTGGCATGTCAAAGGAACGCAACTCTGCACAGCGAATCGAGGCGCCTTAGATGACTGGGCCACCCGTGCCCCCTTTAGTAATATTAAACAATCGGGTCATGACATGACAGATTAACTATTGCTATATGAAAGAATCGGGTGGTCCTTAACTTCTTTTGAGTAGTATATATGTGCATTGATACCACCGATTCTTGTGGTACGAGGCGACATAATGGATCGAGTGGTCAGCCTCGGTGCCTTGGTTGATTGCGCGTGATCGTGCCCCGACGGCGGAGGACGTTGTTCATAAAATCAACCACGGACTTCAATTCCGGACAATTAATTTACTTGCCGTCGTCATATAGCTCGACTATTGCTGAATGCGGAGATTTACGACAAATAATATGTTTGTGAACCATATTTACACCCTTACTTACCCTGGCGATATGATACTAAATGCCACCTTGACCTTGACCTTGGCACTAACAATGACGTGCGATTAACGTCACATTGACAGCATATTTACAGTCGTTCTTCCTGCCCTAAATGAGTTTGGGTTGACTTCATCAGTTAGATCGTAATCTCCTCGCAAATATTTCCCTGCAGGCTATTGCAGATAAAGTAGCTTATCTTATCAATTACCTCAAACTCGAATTTTCAAGAAAATTCACGTTATCATCCCGTACATAATTCAGACGTAGTCATTCAGACATTACTTCCGCCTAATTCCTTCAGCATTTTCAAACGACAAGTTTAAGTGTTTTGTTTGCAAGATGTTGTTTGTTTGTTTGTTTGTTTGTTTGTTGTTTAACGCTCAGCAATATTCCAGCTTCATGACGGTGGTCTGTAAAATATCGAATCTGGACCAGACAATCCAGTGATTGACATCATGAGCATCGATCCCCGCAATTGGGATACGATGACATGCATCAACCAAGCCAGCGAGCCTGACCACCCGTTAGTCGCCTCTTACAAGCATAGTCACGTTTAAGTAACACGTTTTTAGAACCGCTTTGATCAGTGTGTTCAGTTTCATCACGGCGCGTCAGCTTGGTGTGATAGGAAAACCGGAAGGGAAGCCTGTATTAGACGTTAACCATTTTTGGTACGGGTACAGTGCTGACAAACCAAGAAGCTGATGGATGATGGATGCATAGACTGGACCACCCTTTGGGTGATACAACCATTTACACAATTGTATGCATTTTATAGTATTTATAGATACATCCGCGCATAGAATAAACACGCACGCACAGACACACAAACATACAAAGGCATGTTATATACACTCTATTTATTACATTAATATGCCTCTCAAAGATTCCTTGGTGTAAACTGAGTACTTCAAATGTGACGATATATGGTGAATGTTGACGTATACATTTCTGTACATTTATAAAAGTGAGCTTCATATAAAGTTCAATGACAATATATTTTTTTCTGAAATTAAATAATGGAAGTTTTAATACATATTCATAAAGACATCTCGACTTTAAGGTAGTAATTTACAATTTGCACGTGTTTGTTCATGCACGGCGCACACTTTGGATTTTTGCCTGTTTTCTTGAAGCATGATACTCACACATGTTTTTTTTAATGTGAACAGCAATGATTGTTTAGCTATCAATGCTCATAAAAATACTTTTGTTTTTGCCGTAAATAACACTAACGTCTACACAGATAACAGGAAGGACACAAAATGAATGTTATCTACAACAGGGCTACACTCATGACTTGCCAACGGCCGGTCGTCTGGACTGTACATACGATATGGCTGTTGGTGCATAATTGTCTCAAATATATCATCAGTGTCTCTTTCATTATGAAGCCAGCCCAGCTTTTGTTGCTCTAAAATGCTCTAATTGTGGTCAAAGGCGACTACATAAATGAAACTCGATTGATGGCGTATCCTCATATATTGACATCACAGGTAGTTACTCATAATGTCGATCACTGGATTGTCTGGCTCAAACTCGATGCTTTACAAGTCACCGTCACATGGCGTGTGTCTTTAAACAACAAATAACAAACATAAGATCCAACTGAAATCAAAATCAAGAAGCAGTTTTGAATAAACAGTCCACTACGTCTTGATTAAAGTCTTAATTTGTAAATTTTACAGAATATTTTAAAATGGAAAAGTAATCGTAGTGCAAGCGTTCGTATCATTGTTGTATTTAAACACCTTTAACTTCGCGACAACACAGTACTTGATGGCACTTTGCGCTGAACAGCTTTGACGTGAAACTGTATATGATGGGGTTGGCAACGGCGTTCACGTAGGGACAATACCAGGCGAGATTGAGAAGCGTCATTTTGGTCAAAGACAGGTCATCCAATTCGGGGTGAAGGGTATAGATCAAGGTCAAGGTCATCGTAGGAGAGACACTGAAGAAGTACACAATGGTGAGGATGAAAAATATCTTTGTGGAGATTCTTTTCTTTGGAATCTGATCTTTGTGTTGCTCCCTGTGACGATGGAGGACTCGTCCTATGAGTCCATACATGACTCCCATGAAAGCTGCAATGGCTAGGTACCCTACGATCAGAAGGATTGAGAACATTAACGATTGTCCGTTCTGCTTGAATTTCTCTTGATAGTCACACCCAGGAAACTCAACGCTCGTGTTACCAAGATAGACTTTGTTGATGGTGACGCCAACGGTGAAGAGAACGGGTACGCTTAGCAGAAGCACAACGGTGATGCCTCCAAGAAATAGCTTCTTTACCAGAGATTTGGTTATCTGTGGAGCCAGAGGACGGCATATCTTCCTGTAGCGCTCGAATGCGATGATGCTCAGAAGGATACCAGAGGTGACGGTTGTGAAATTGCTCATGAAGGTGATGAACTTGCACATGTGAGGCGTGTCATTGGAACGGGCGAAGAAGGTAAAGTAGAACGAACTGGGAAGACACACGCTGATGCTGAACAAGTCCAGCGTCGCTAATGATTTGACAAAAAGCCCGTACATTGTCGGCGCCATGTGACGATGATATATATACAGGACCAAACAGTTGCCAAAGAAGCCAAGCACGAACAGGATGACAGCAAAGACGAGTACAGGCCACAGCAGGCTGGTTGGCATGTCAGCATATATGGGCAAGGTGGAGTTGGGGCCGTCCATTACCTGTTGTGGGAGGTGCCTTTTCCTGAAATAGGAATAATTGTTATGAACACACAATGCCATTTAGAAAGTGGTCAAATGTAACAGGTGAGGTGAGGTGAAATGGGGTTTAACGTCGCGTCCAAGATTATTGCACTTATATAGCGACGTGCATGCACGTGTGTGTGTTTGTGTGTGTGGCTGCTTGTACTAGTCCGGACTAATGCCGATTTATAGTGCTAGTTCACTGAGGTACCATGCCGCAGTTTAACATGAATATCCCACTCAGACACAGTTTACTGACTCCGAGCCGACCAGTCCTTGTTTTAGCCCCTTAATGCCGAGCGCCAGACAGGGTAACAACAAGTACCATCTTTTAACGTCTCTTGGTATGACGCGGCCGGGGATCGAACCCCGGACCTTCCGCTCTCCGGGCGGACGCTCTACCACAAGACCACGGAGGCGGTCTCAAATGTAACAAATGCTATGTTTGGGATAACACTTTTTAGTATAGTACAGATTCAACAGTGTTGATTTGATTTGATCAACAAATGTGCTTCCTGTCACATTTCACTTAAATAGGACGAGTAAGTGAAAAGCTTTATTCACTCACTCAACAACATGGCCAATACTCGTGATGTTTGAATAAAATTATTCTAAAAAAACACATTGTACCATTTGTTTACAAGCACGAAAATTATTTTCTCCTGGAATTTAATTAGGTGCTTTTGACTGACAAAGACACCCGGGCCATGTTACGTTTTGAAAAGTCTGAATAACTGAAGTGGACGATAAACAAGCTTATATTGTGAGAAATAAAGACATGAAAACTTTGGTTTGTGTTTCTTTGTTAAATATGAGAAATCCAGATTGTTAAATATGAGGAATCCAGATTGTTAAATATGAGTGAGTGAGTGAGTTGGGTTTAACGCCGCTTTTAACATTATTCCAGTTATATCGCGGTGTGTCAGCTTAATATGGGAGGAAAGCCCGAAGTGATGCAGGTCTCAGACGTTTACCACTTCGGTGAAACCCACGAGCACGGGTATGGTGCTGACAAACCTAGAAACATAATCGGGGTGAACCGGGATTCGAACCCACAATCATAAGTTTCTGGCGTGTCCAGGGGACGCAACTCTGCACAGCGAATCGCGGCGCCTTAGACAACTGGGCCACCCGTGCCCCCTGTTAAATATGAGAAATCCAGATTCTTAAATATGAGGAATCCAGATTGTTAAATAAAAATTATGAGAAATCCAGATTGTTAAATATGAGGAATCCGGATGATTTTAGATAGTTGCATATCAGACACTCACTAATATCCGACCATAAGATAAATCAGAATTATTTAATTAAACCAACACACATTTTATTTGCCTGTCCCAGATATAAGAATGGATATTACTTACTGTAAATTCTGGAAATTAATGCTTCTCCAAATTAATACGACTGCTGAATCCCTAGCCAAAGATGCGAATGCCCCCATCCCATCCCCAGTGGAATGATACACATCCTTACCTTTTATCCAATCAAACAGCCAATAGCGCCGCTAACACAGTATGAATGTTAACTCTGTTGACTGGCATTGAGGAAGTCAATAAAATAATTGAACCAATCACAGTTCACTCATTGGCTTGCTGAGATGTCAACACGCTAGACACGAGTGGGTAGAACTCTTGACTCCCGCAGTGATAACTGTGTATTGTGTATTTGGTTTCCAGGTGTTCAAATTAGAATAATAGTGATTCTTTAAATGTATTGTCCGGTTTTGGAAACATAGAAAACATAACAATGTTTGGGGATGATATGTCCGATAGTTTTTATCCCCGACCAGACTGTTGGAACATTAGTAGTTCTCCAATATGAAATTTTATTCCTTTTGGGGGTAAAATTTGAGGTTGGTATGTTCATAGGTAACATAAAACACCATTTACATGTTTGCTGGCAGATAATATTATCAGATTATGGTAATATCTGAAACAAAACTAAACAACATGAACATTATTGATATATTTTAAGCATGCTGAACTTTTTTGTGAGATATCTCAAAGATTTAATAATTGAAATCAAATAACAATGACATAATTTCAATTTTCAGATTTTCTCATCATAAAACTTGATAATCTACATGTATGAAATGGTATGTATAATCAGTTTTGGATAATTCATAAACAATGTAATATTTATATGTATCCACCTTTCAAGATAGAGTGTAAATAGACTGTTAATATATATTTGTTATTTATTTGTTTAAATTTATGAAAAGAATACATATTTTTGTTAGGTCATAAGTATTATCAAATCATACATTCATCTGCATGAACGTCATTATTTAGACCAGACACACTTACTGGTGCATTGGAAAACCTGTTTCACTAACTCTTATTCTGGAGGTGGCCAGATTTAATTTTTCATATTCCACAATACTTATGTAATTTTGTTTAGTAGATTTGGAGTATGAATAGTTTGGTAGCCAGAGGTTTCATGATCAGTGTCAAAGAAAGGATATACAAAAGTTTGAAAGAAGACAAGTTACATTTATTCTTGTCACTCTGAACTGGATTGTAACAGAGTGTCCATCTACAGACCCAGATTGCAACTTTAATTCTTTTATTTATCTACTGATATGGTTTCTATTGTCATTCTGAAATCAACAAATATTTAGTTATTGTCCTGCCATGACAGGATACTTGTATTAGTCGCCTCCTTTTGGTATATAATTCCCCATCATGACATAGGATTAGGTCAGGGTGTTCAAGAAGTTGATGTTTGTATCAATTCTTATATATCTTCTATTTCATGCAATATTTATATCTATTAATTTTAAGTTTCGATCCAACTTGTTTTAAACATTGCACACATTATTACGTGTCGTGCACGGTGCAACCTTAATCGTCAATAATCGGTTAAATAAGTGATGTTTGAAGGAAAAGTAAAGTTTCATCTGTCATTGTACACACTGATAAGAGTTATCGCCCCTTCTGAATATTTATTTTGACAAACGAGTTATTTTGTAAACTTATTTCATTTACATCGTAATATGTCTGGATGAAAATCATAGCAGAAAAAGTGTCTTATGTCAAATGAAAGGTGAAATAAACCTGATCGACGATCTCGAGTTCGCCAAGCCACCCGTTGACTGAGCAAATAAGCAAAATACACGGACGTGTTTCATGTTTTGCAGTTCATTTACGATACAAAACTTCTGTCGTTGAATAAACTATCACACTGTACCCACGTGCCGGCGATATTATGATAAAACAATTTATTTCGGAAAAACGTATCTCAGAAATGCACCTTTCGCTTCACTTCCGGGATCCTGACAGCAAAATGCGAATTCCAGTGTTTTACAGGCATATTTTAGTTGGACCTCAGGATTAAATGTGCAATATCTTCTGTATTAGATACAGAGGATACCATTTTTTGTTTGAAATGTCCATCAGTGAAATGCACAACATGCTCTCTGTTCCCTATCAGCTGATGCGAGTCACACTGCATGGAGCTATGCTCTCCAAGCCTCGTTTTCGATCCAAGATGGCGAAAGTGTGAAAAAGGTAAATACTTGTGAACTATAAGAATCAGGTGAACAGGCTCACTGTCTCATCGATCACGCCCAGAAAGCCTGCATTGTTGTTCATGCTTCAAGTCACTGGATTGCCTGGTCCAGACTCGATTGTTTACAGGCCAATGTGATCAAGCTGGGATGCTGCTGACAAATACCCTAAGCACTATTCACTCAATTACTCCGCATGCGGGACTGATTGACTTGATACTACAGCGCCAACCACCACTCATTCACTTTGGGAAAATTAACATGCTACAAAGATAAAAACTGGGAATTTGTGAGCTGGGGTCGTTTTAAAATAATAATTTCTTTCAGAAAATACTGGAAAAAAATAGTTTGCCTCAAGTTTGAAAAATTCTTCGCTGGAGATGATGGGTGTCCTGAAAAATATTATTTTGAAAAACAAAACCAGTGGGAGTTATTTTGGCATGTCAATGAACAGACATGGAAATTCAAGCACACACGCAAAAGGGATATTGCAAATATGAATGATAGCACAATGATATTGAACAATAGTTATCATTGTTAATAATTCTAAGAATACTACCTCTATGACATCTCTGCTATAAATCCTGTATTTTGGCTTCAGTCCGACTAACTAAAATTTTCAGATTTTCAACAGACGACCTCTTCACTGTCAATTACAAACAACTAGTTGTTGCCAAGTAGCATCGTAACCACCCAGGCTATGACGTATGCAATGGCGGCAATCTCACATCCACCCTACCTATTTCCCACATCTAACTACCAGAGGTAGATGAATTGGGGAGGTGGGTGGGAGTACTTCGGATTTAAAAGAGGTATTCTTAGAATTATTAACAATGATAACTATTGTTCGATAATTCTTACGAAATCTCTACCTCTATTACATCTCTGCCAGAATATACCAGAGGGACCCGGTGGGATTTGTCTCTTGTAACTCCCTGTGTAATTGACAGTTATCCTCTTCTGGAAACCATTCCGATTCTAAAACTGATTCTAATCCTAACTCGAGATAATTTCCTCTGAAATTTCCCCTGAGGACTTAGGTATCAAGAATCAGTCAAATATGTGATACATTCACTAGAATTACCGTTGTGACACTATTACCGGTGCTGACGTCACTTCGGGTTGCAAGATAAGAAGAGTCTACTTCGATGACATCTATGCGGATCTGTTGCCACGAGATAGAACTTGAGAGCTCTGATAAGAGTCTGTCTTGGTGATCTACTGTTGGTTCTAAGGCAGGAATGGTATAGTGTCTATGGCCCAACGGTCCCGTTGTGGTAGATTGATTCTTGGCTACGAAGTCTGGGAGCGATCTTAGAGTTATTGAGGTCAAATGTTGGTCATGGGTAAGACTAGAATAGTCTAAGACATGTAGTTCTGAAACTCTTGCTGCTATCGCCATGGCTAGGAGGAAGGAAGCTTTCCTGGCTTTTGGGAGTAAAGTAGCTTTAGCCATGGGCTCATGAGG